GGAGGGCGGAGTGGGTGGTAAGGGAGGGGGTGGGCAGGGGGGAAGAAATGACCCAAGCCTTGTATGCACATATGAATAATAAAAGAAAAAGGAAAAAAAAAAAAGAAAACAGTGTTAAAAACAAGGATTTTAATGCCAATGACTAGTCAAAAAAAAAGTTTCATGATACCTAGTGGGCATTGGTTACCAAAGGAAAAAAAAGAGGCTGGATAACTCTTGTCTGCTCGCTTCAGGTTAATATTTTGAGGACATACGGACCACTGAGTAAAGGGGAAGGGAGGGTGATTTTGCTCTAGAAAAGGAAGTTCACACACGGGCTGGACTTCCAGCCCCTGTCCCTCTCTGCCACCAGATTTGCTTCCTCCAGTGACCCACCCGACAGACCTCTCATTTCTGTGCAGCTGATGCCCTGTCTGCGGCCGAACTGTCTAATTGACCCAGTGAGTGTTCCTGCCCAAATGGCCCGAGGCCATAGCCACATCTGCCTGTTCTCTTTTCAGCTCGTTGTCCAAGGACCACTTTGGCGGACACGTTGTATCCAGGCGGGCAGCTTACTAGGCCTAATTTCCTAAAGAGCGTCTCTTTGTAAATGTATACAGTGAAGCCGACAAGTCCTACTGTTTTCTTCTCTTTAATGTTATTGTGGCTTTGACACTGCCTGGTTCTGTCCTTGTCAGCCTGTCAAAGCCAAGTTTTCAGGCAAGGTTGGTTCTCAACTAGTTTGTTCTGTGTTTTGTTTGGGTGTTGTGATTATTTTTTTTTTTTTTTTTTTTTTTTTTTTCTTTTTTTTCCTCCAGATAAAGATGCCATCGCTTCCCATGCCACCACACCATATAAAATCTGATAGCTTGCCAGGCAATTGATGGGAAGGGAAGCCAGTTTTGCAGTCTATTTAAAAAACAAAGTAAAATAAAAAGGACTTCGTTTTTGAAGTTCTGCCTTCACTAATACTTATAGAATAACTTTTAGAAGGAGCACATGAGAATCCATGTTTTCCAATCATAATCAACTGCAGATTCCACTTAAAGATATGCTGGTTGTGAATTTATCTCCCTTCCTCTCCTCTCCTCTTTCTCTCCTCGCCAAAAAATTGCGTATCTAAAACAAATATACTGATCAAGCTGATGGTAAATTTTCTTACAGCTGGCCTTACAGATTCTTAAATAACTTTGAGCTCTTCATAAAAATATTGATTGTCATTCTTCAAAAAATCCACACAGCCAAAAAAGGAAGGAGGAGGGAGAGAGACAGAAAGAAGAGGAGGAAGGAAGAAGGAAGGAAAACTTTCACCTATCACTTTGAGTAGTAATCTAAGTGTTCTGGCTTTGCCAAAAAACAAATGACTTCATTAGACTGAAGAAACAAGAATGCCATTGATACATTCATTGACTTTAAATTAAAACATAAACTGCTATGTTTTGCATAGAGGAATGACAACTAAATAACAAAGAGTACACCTTGCTATTATTTGTTGCAACTCCATTATACCTGTCTGAAAGGAAGAAGAGCAAAAGGGCAAAGCCTAAGTTGATTTAATCTTACTGATCCAGCTATCTTAGGCTCTTCATGTTGAGTAATCTTACTGATCCAGCTATCTGGCTCTCTCCATGTGCTATTAGCGGATAGCAGATAGTTTTTGATTGACTTACTGAAGGTACAGCTGGCTATTTTTTCGTATAGCTCAGATCTTCAGGTTCCATGTTATAAATTTATTAAACTTAATTTTTTTCTCCTTACACATTTATCTCTTTTCCTTTTTGTTGTTGTACAGGGTGGGAAGAAGAGTGAATAAAAAGTGTAAATATTCTATTTGGTTTCTGTTAAAATACCTGAAAGAGAATTTTTGCTTCCAGCAATTGATAAAAAGGTTTAGAAGAGAGTGTTATTCCGTTGAAGTTTAATTTTTCACTATCTTTATAAAGAGGCCTTCCTAATAATTTTAATTAATGCAAAAAAAAAATTAAGTTTTCAAAGGCAGTGTTGACTTAGGAGAGTGATTAGTAGGCAATTCAAATGCTCCAATTACATAACCTATGGCCCAAGAGCAACGTAATAGTCACAGAAAGCACTTACTATGTATCAGATACTCAAGTGTTTCTTCTGATTATTTCTAAGAATTGGGTTTCTTAGGACTGATAATTTTTTAGCTTAGGTTTGAGCCTTAAATGTATAGAAAAAATATAAAACCTGGCTTAAGTTTTACAATCATCCAGAATATACCTGTTAATGGCTGCCTTCCCACCTCTGTGCACCTCCTCACTTGACATACTAGCACAAAGCAATTTCATTGTGCAGCAGCTTTGCATTATTCTGTAGTTGTTAGAATAGGTGATGAATATCCTGGGTGGAAATGTGTTCTGGATTATGCCAAACTACTTGACCTCCTATGTCTTCTGTCTCAACCCTGCCCACCCGAAGATCCTTACCAGCATCCGTGTATCTGCTCAACTTTCTCTTCCTATAAATCTTTAATAGCTTCACTTCTTCTGTAAAGTCCAAATGCCTTCATGGGCATTTAAGGCACATATGGCCCCATGGTACAAGCCCCAGTCTCCTCCATTCATATCATCCAATTCCTTCTACCCAAATACTGCTCTCCACACATCCTCAACTACTCAGAATTCTCTGAAACAGGAATCATGGAGGAATTCTTTCAGGAATAACTTAAACTATTAATAATAACTGTGTTTTACTGAGGATCAAAAGCTAGTCCATGGGTAATTTTTACAGCTGGGTAGCAGAAAGACCGCACTTGACAATTCAGATCCCCACTGTAGTCCTGTTTTCCGAATGGTGCCTTCCCCTCCTTCTCAGGTATTCCTGATACTGACCCTGTCTAGTATGTGCTGCAGAGGGAAAACTTTACTCCAGTCTTTTGCTGAGAGGAGATTTCAAGAAGGATAAAATATGTGAAAGAATAATTTTTGACAAAAAGGTAAAATCATAACTCTCATAGAGATATAAAATAGATAGATGGTTAAGATATTACTTAGTTCATTAATTAATGAGGGAACTAGGCAAATGTTATAACCAGTTCAAAGGGGGAGGGCTAAGAAGCACAAAATGTATATAAAGGGAAATTGAAAAGAGTATAAATGGGCATAAAACTAGGGGTATCCCTCCACAGACAGTTCATTTGTGTTTCTATAAATGGGTCTGTTTCTTAATTTGATTCAGTTATCTAAAACATGAGAGTTGTAACACAGCTCCCAAAAAATTAGAATTAGTTGACTTGAGGATATATTCCAAAAGCATAGTTTTTCCATTGAAAAAACAAAATTTTCCCTACAGAGGGGGAAAATAGATAGATAGATAAATGAATAGATAGATAAGTGTATAATATGTATGGATATGTATTTTACATTCAGCACACTTGGAATTGTTAATATGAACTAAGTAATGCAGTCTCTAATAGTATTTAATGAAAGTTGGTTGTCCATACCACCACTATCCACTATTTTACATATTTATGATTATCTCCTATTCAGACTTTTAATTCTTCCAATAATAGGAATTGAATGTTCTTCCCTTTCCTTCATATCTTCCATCTCCTCTTTCCTACTCTCCCTATTTTTCACTACCAGTAAAAAGAATAAACGTAGTTGGTCATAATCATTCAGTTTTCCTGGTATCATTAGCCATATGTCACTTCATAATCCATGTTAATTAACATTTTGACAGCAAATCAGAATGGTATTACTTTCAGAATGAATTTTTAAAAATATAGATATATATATTCTATGACAGAGAAACAATATAGACTCAATACAAAGGGAAGAGAAAACTAGACAAATACCCATTTACTGTTAAGCTACATTACTAGATTTCCATGGTTCATTTGTCTAACTTGTGAGACTTGAATTATTTTAATTACTCATCTTGGCTTTGTGCTTATAGAGGTAGAACCTATATTTGAAAATAACTCCCCAGCAATAATTTTCATTATATATAAACATCTTAGTGTATGTACATAGTGTATATATCTTTGTCTTTAACTATTTTTTTCATTATTTTCCTCTAATAATCTGGTTGTTTTCAAATTGGATCCTTTTAAACCTCATGATTCTACTAGATATCTCTATGCGTTACCAAAAGAGCTCGTGCTAGAATAAATATGGTTCATTTATTTCTGCTTCATGATCCTCAGGCCCTTTCCCAATCCCACATCAGGGATTATGATCCAGCAATTGAGCAGAGAATCCTTCTGCAGGTTGAAAAGTTTGAAAACTTAAATACTTTCTGTTTTTGCATTAGCCTTTTTGATTTCCAATTCGGCCATTTCTTATTCTTTGAAAACTCTTTAACTTAGGAGACCAAGAGTAAACAGAATAATCTAATTGTAACGGGTTCTAATAATAGCAGAGGCCCACTTTTCAGTTTTTATATATCATGTCTGTACATATATAATCTGATATTATGTTAGTAGCAGTAGACTGGCATTTTAATTCTTTCAAATTATGTTTTCTTACCTCACTAATAAATAATTAAACAATTCTAATTGTATGAATTATAACAAGAACTCATTATTTCCTTCTTACTTAAAATGTTTTAAGAAAATTTGCTGCTGCATAATATCTTAAGAGAAATTGATCATACTTTTCCTGTAATGAATGTTGTTCTGACAGTAAAGCATTAGTAACCAATTGATAACCCAGCAACAATATTGTGATCTCTTTAGATAATTAATCTTAGCTATTTTCCTGTCAGAAACAACAGTGTTTGATTTTATGTTGAGCCAGAAAGATTGCCAGTTCTGAAAATTAAAAAGCATTCCTTTTATATTATTCATTCCAGTAACAATTTATGATGGCGCATTTAGCTGCTGAACGCTTGTCAACAAACGTAATTATGTTTCGATATAAACAAGATTGGTGGTTTTACTATGCAGCTCCATCTTTGTTGAGAATGTTTTGATTTAAGTTCAGATTATACAAGCTGTGTATTTATGAGTCATTTTTTCCTCCTTTGTTAATAGTTTTTTCTGATAATTACTTGTAGGCAAACAAGCATGCATTTAGGATCCTTATGTACAGGAGACATCAAAAGAAGAAGAAAAGCTGCACCTTTGCCTGGACCTACTACAGCAGGTAAAAAAAACAAAGAAGGGGTTACAGTGGAGCACAGATGGAAGGTTCATAAATCATCAAGAATAAAAATATAGATACTTATTAATCACTCCCACAGAAAAAGGGTCACAGTTGCAAGAAACTGTTATGATAATTCATTTGTAGTTGGTATCAGGATGTATTGCATGTTCCTTGTGTAGATTTTTGAGGTTGTCAATCAATGAAACATTTGCTACACAAATGCCCAAATGCAAAATTTTGTTTGAGATACCAAAGGATACAAAAACTTCACATTTTGTATCTTTGGGCTCAACAAATTTTCAGACTTATTGGGAAAATAAGGCATAAATAGATGAAGCAAAAAATAACCACAGAAGAGATTAATAGTAATAAATCCACAAAGTATGAAAGCAGCTACAAACGCAAGACCCAATGTTTTAGTAAGTGGGAACATTGCGTGTAAATGTGGCAGTCTGTTTTCTACTCCCAGCTCTGCAGAAATCTTAGGTTCATCTTTCCTTATTTACACAACATTAGCATCAGAAAAAAAAATCTCTTATTTCTACCTCAAAAATTGTCATTCTAACAACATGCCTTTCTAATAATGACTGTGGTTAGGGGATTTCTGTTAAGTACTCACGGGAGAGTGAAGGATGTGATTAAGATTAGTGTGTATTCCATTTCATGATAAAATCTCTAAGAAAACTAGGAATAGAAGGAAAGTACCTCAACATTATAAAAGCTGTATGACAAACCTACAGCCAGCAGTATACTTAATGGAGAAAAACAGAAACCATTCCCTCTAAAATCAGGAACCAGACAAGGATGCCCACTACTCCACTCCTATTCAACATAGTACTGGAATTCCTACCCAGAGCAATAGGCAAGAAGAAGGAATAAAAGGAATACAAATAGGTAAAGAAACTGTCAAAATATCCCTATTTGCAGATGACATGATCCTATACCTTAAAGACCCAAAAAACTCTACTCAGAAGCTTCTATACATCATCAATAGCTACAGCAAGGTAGCAGGATATAAAATCAACATAGAAAAATCATTAGCATTTCTATACACTAATAATAAACAAACTGAGAAAGAATATATGAAAACAATTCCATTCACAATAGCCTCAAAAAAAATCAAATACCTAGGTGTAAACTTAACAAAAGATGTGAAAGACCTCTACAAGGAAAACTATATACACTTCTGAAGAAAGAGATTGAGGAAGACTATAGAAAGTGGAGAGATCTCCCATGCTCATGGATTGGTAGAATCAACATAGTAAAAATGTCTATACTCCCAAAAGTAATCTACATGTTTAATGCAATTCCCATCAAGATTCCAATGACATTCACTAAAGAGATTGAAAAATCTACCGTGAAATATATATGGAAACACAAGAGGCCACGAATAGCCAAGGCAATACTCAGTCAAAAGATCAATGCTGGAGGTATCACAATACCTGACTTCAAACTATATTACAAAGCAATAACGATAAAAACAGCATGGTACTGGTACAAAAACAGACATGAAGACCAGTGGAACAGAATAGAGGACCCAGATATGAAGGCACACAACTATAACCAACTTGTCTTTGACAAAAGCGCTAAAAATATACGATGGAGAAATAGCAGCCTCTTCAACAAAAACTGCTGGGAAAACTGGTTAGCAGTCTGCAAAAAACTGAAACTAGATCCATATATATCACCCTATACCAATATTAACTCAAAATGGATCAAGGATCTTAATATCAGACCCCAAACTCTAAAGAGTAGGAAATACTCTGGACCTAGTAGGTATAGGTAAGAACTTTCTCAACGAAACCCCAGCAGCACAGCAACTAAGAGATAGCATAGATAAATGGGACCTCATAAAGCTAAAAAGCTTCTGTTCATGAAAAGAAATGGTCTCTAAACTGAAGAGAACACTCACAGAGTAGGAGAAAATATTTGCCAGCTACACATCAGACAAAGGACTGATAACCAGAATATATAGGGAACTTAAAAAACTAAATTCTCCCAAAACTAATGAACCAATAAAGAAATGGGCAAGTGAACTAAACAGAACTTTCTCAAGAGAAGAAATTCAAATGGCCATAAAATATACATGAAAAAATGCTCACCATCTCTAGCAATAAAGGAAATGCAAATTAAAACCACACTAAGATTCCACTTCACCCCTGTTAGAATAGCCATCATTAGCAACACCACGAACAACAGTGTTGGTGAGGATGCGGGGAAAAAGGAACCCTCTTACACTGTTGGTGGGAATGTAAATTAGTACAACCACTCTGGAAAAAAATTTGGAGGCTACTTAAAAAGCTAAACATTGATCTACCATTTGATCCAGCAATACCACTCTTGGGGATATGCCCAAAAGACTGTGACACAGGTTACTCCAGAGGCATCTGCACACCCATGTTTATTGTGGCACTATTCACAATAGCCAAGTTATGGAAACAGCCAAGATGCCCCACCACTGACGAATGGATTAAGAAAATGTGGTATCTATACACAATGGAATTTTATGCAGCCATGAAGAAGAACGAAATGTTATCATTCGCTGGTAAATGGATGGAATTGGAGAACATCATTCTGAGTGAGGTTAGCCTGGCCCAAAAGACCAAAAATCGTATGTTCTCCCTCATATGTGGACATTAGATCAAGGGCAAACACAACAAGGGGATTGGACTTTGAGCACATGATAAAAGCGAGAGCACACAAGGGAGGGTAAGGATAGGTAAGACACCTAAAAAATTAGCTAGCATTTGTTGCCCTTAACGCAGAGAAACTAAAGCAGATACCTTAAAAGCAACTGAGGCCAATAGGAAAAGGGGCCAGGAACTAGAGAAAAGGTTAGATCAAAAAGAATTAACCTAGAAGGTAACACACACGCACAGGAAATTAATGTGAGTCAACTCCCTGTATAGCTATCCTTATCTCAACCAGCAAAAACCCTTGTTCCTTCCTATTATGGCTTATACTCTCTCTCAAAAATTAGAGATAAGGGCAAAATAGTTTCTGCTGGGTGAGGGGGTGGTGGGTTGACCCAAGCCTTGTATGCACATATGAATAATAAAACAATAAAAAAAAAGATTAGTGTGTATTACAAAATCTCATGTAAGAGCCATGAGAAAAGGAGGCACAGATAGTCAGTGCTAGGAGGAAGCCAGCTGGGCATTAAAATGTAGACAGCACCCATATATGAATAAGCAACAGTTAACTGTAATAGATTTGTGATGTAACCAACTCTGACTATGAGGAAATATTGTGAGTGTAGATAGTTTATCAGTTATGAAGAGGATTAGCCTTGACCTGTTGCCTGAGATCCTTAACCATCCCCATTTATAAACTTTCTCTGAATTCATTTGATCACCCTTTTATAAGAAAAGTCACTCTAATTATCGAATATGAAAAATAAAATTCTTCTCCACAGAAGAACAAACAGTGAGAAGAAAAAAATGTATGTGTATATGAACAGATTTGAGATTTGGTTTTGCATGGTGAGTTTAAAGGAAATAAAATGTGAATCTTAATGTTGTGTATTTAGGGAACCTATTCCATAGTTCAGCACTAGAAAATTGACAGGTAGCTTACACTTAGCAGTTGTTCCAAGTCAGGGGCTACATTATGAAGTTATACATTAGTTATAATGCCTGATCTTCTCCTAGCTGTATTGATTGAAGCCTCAGGATTTGGAATTAGGAAACACTGTGTATAAAGTATGTTTGAATTTATGTAGCATAGTATTTACCACTTACGTTGCACCTATGCTGTACCAGAAACTTATTTTATCTTTACAACTGTATGAGATGAACATTGCTGTCATCACTTTGCAGGTCATAAAATTAAGATCAGAGGAGTAATTGGCGACATTATTATTGAAGCACAAGGCGTCACACTTCAATCTGTGAGATGCCTAATAGTTCTTCCCTAACAACATACTTCTGGCCCCTTTCTGAGAGTATATATGTAAAGACTGCCCTATTCCACATGTTGACTTGAAGGCACTATTGCATGCCTTAAATTTTGTAGAAGATTCATCCAGCTATTACTATTTAGAAATATAGAATATTAATGAAATACTCCTAATACATCTCTTCATAAGGAATGTTCAAACACATTTTCATCAAATACATGTCACAACGTTTTCAATTCAAATCTGTCATAAGGCAGGTACAGGATTCATTAGCACTCCCACTCCAGTTGAATGGTCCCCTGAATTCTTTTTTCTCTCAGTGATTCAAACATGAATGGCAGAAACAGTACACAAACGATCTTTAAAATTCAACTACTGCACCTGAGTGGCAGCAATAAGGAAAAGAGGGTCAGGCCCTAACGCAGTGAACACATATGAGGTGAGAAGGAACACACATGATGGTGGAGAAAAGGATAATAATAATTATTTCTACAAGGCAGTTTTGATGTTACAACTCAGTAACATCAAAGGAAATCATTTATACAGAGCATAGGCACAGACAATAAACTTTAGCCTCAAACAGTTTCATGTTAAGGTTATACCAGCTTATTTCAGATGTTATATTCCTTCAAAACTGTTGTGATTCTTTTAGAAGATACAGAATTTTCATTTTATTACTAAATTTTTAAACTATAAAATTCGTAGGAATTTAATGCATGTGTAAGGAATGAGAGTAGTGATGGTGTAGGTGAAATATGTTGCTTGTTGTCGATATAGTTGCTCCTCCCAAAGAGAAAAAAATTGAGGTTATTTAAAAGTCCTCAGTTTGAAATATAATATCCTCTGATCCTAATGAATTAACTCTAAGGTGAAGATTATTACCCACATTCAAGTAAGAAGTGTTTCTGTATAAATACACTTTGATAATAAGGTTGTGAATCCTAGATCACTGTGTCTTTGAAAATTACAGTTTTCAAATTCTGGAATACAGTCAGTCACAGAATAGTCAATTATATTTGTAAACTTCCAATGATGAGCTTGCATAAAGAATTATTTTTTAAAGGACCTTCTTGCCATTTTCTCAGGCGCTCACAGACCTTCC